CATCCGTTTGGTCTGCGAAACCGTTTTATTTGCCGACAAGTTCCCTTATTTAATACAAAGAATTAAATAGGGTTTATTTTAAGCTGGGTTCAGAAAAACTTCCTATAAGGACAAACCCCTATAGTTAATTATATCTTAAATGACCGAAGTCACCTAAGAAAACTCTCGATAAAAAACAAAGAATATTATCTTCAAAGAGGTCAAAAGGATAAGACTTTTTAACGAAATCGGACGAAGAGGTGTGAAAGGGGGAATGCTCGAACCTGGAACAATGTTGAGGAATCCAAATGAAGAGAAACTAGGGTAGGCCACAGACCCTGAGGAGAACCTCAGTGACTTCCCAGTCTATCCTATGATTTGACTTCAGTTTGAGAAGAAATTATTACAATGTTTCATCCTGCCAATTTTATTAAATTAGGGCTTATATTTGTGTGACAGGGTCACACAAATTGCCTAGAAGATATGAAGGTTTACGTCGTACCGGACGACAACCTCAGAACCTAGAACGAGTTAGAGCTTAAATCGTACAATAGAGCTATACGAATGCCTAAAGAAAAAGGTGGAGGACTTATGTTGCGCTAGGCAAACAACCTCGAAATCCTATGGATTGTTGTTTAATTTCTAGGAAAAGGAATAGTTTTGCTGGGGAAGACATGTTCTGCTGTTGAAGATGGTCGTGCTGCCCACTGCGCTAGCTCCAAGCTCCCCGACATGACGAGTTTAAGTTTTCTAGGGTGTCCAGTTATATTGTCAAATCAAACGGCCCTATGGTTGTAGTCCTCTAAACATCATATACAAAAAAGAAAACATGCTTGAAACTATATAATATAAAACGTGCAATACAGGACAAACAGTACAATGCATGTGAAACAGTAACATGTAGAAACAGAAAAAGTATAACATGTTATACATGAAGAACAATAGCAGGTGAAAAACAGGAGTAATATGACATGCTATACAATACAGTAGCAGTTAGAAACATGACAAGTATAACGTGTTGTACAGTACAAGTATAACATGTTGTACAGTACGGTAGCAGACAGAAATATGACAAGTGTAACATACTTTACAGTACGGTAGCAGGTAGGAATATGACAAGTGTAACATGCCACACAGGAAGAACAACAGCAGGTAGAAACGGGAAAATTAAGTGCTGTAAAATGTAAAGCAAACCTGTACGCACGTGAGATCCGATGTTCCTTAAGTATAACAAGCCTATATGCATCGCAAAAAGTGAAGTCTGAAAGAAACGTCGTCCAGGAAACCCGAGAAAC